TCGTCATCGTCATTATTATTATTATTATTATTATTATTATTATTATTATTATTATTATTATTGATAGTGATGTTGATAATAACAATTATTATTATCAACATTACTATTGTTGTAGAAAAGGTATGAAGGAGAATGAATCTTCACAATACAAAATATGTATTTGATCGGTTTCGATTAGATCTTCGTCAGAAATACATGATAATGTATTTTTGACGAAGATATAATCGAAACCGATCAAATACATGTCTTGTATTGTTAAAATATTCATTCTCATTCATGCCTTTTCTACATCTGTGAACATGAATACGGTTTATTACTGTTGTCGTTGTCCATACTATTATTATCTGTTAGTTAGAATATAATATTTATGTAATGCTCATATTATTGATTTTATTGATAACCGTCGTACACAGAAATTAAGAAAAAGGAGAAAAAAAATTTGCCCAAGTTCAGTGAAAATGTAAAAATAATTTTCCTGAAGTAAGGTTTACTTACTTAAAGGGCGGTGACCTCCAACCAGCGAAGGTCAGGTCAGATTTCTTGTTTGAAAACCAACATAGTGGGTATACGGTGACGACATTTTATTCTAACAGGAAATAACTTTTAACATGTTCTTTTTTTTGATAGGTCTAGTCACAAAGTTCATAATCATTGCTTTAAGACAAATCAAAAGCGTCGAACTGCTGCGCACAATGAAGCTAATACACCCTGGCGGTACAAGTACGAACCACCTCAAGTCCTGTTTGTAAATGTAAAGTGTAAGCAGAGACAAAGCCTGTTCCAGAAGCCTGCTTTCCACCCCCACTTCGCTCTCTCCTTTTGTGTGTTTGTATACAGAATTACACTGCGCCTGGCTGTGTTGCTGTTGCTTAGGCTTACTGGGGGGGGGGGGGGATTTTGTACTGTACTGGGACTTTGATACACCTGTTGGTTAAGCCTTTGAGTTGTTTTTAACTTCACACACACACACACACACACACACACACACACACACACACACACACACACACACACACACACACACACACACACACACATTAGCGATTGTGGAACTTCCAGTGGGGAAGCGGAGAAAAATAATGAACCTCAGGACCAGTGTTCACAGAAATATCGTTCCTTCTTTCTTCTTTGAACCTTTAAAAACAGAAACGTTTCCCATGAAAAATTAACTGTAAAGACAATAACACATACAAATAGTCACAAAGTTATATATCATAGACATGTCTTTGTGAAAAAAAGTTATTGAGATCATTATCAAACTAACGGTTATGCAGTGTATCAATACAGTGAATCTAGCAGAGTATGATAAACTATAATACTTAGTTTAATAATGATCTCAATAACTTTAATCTTGAAGGATAATGTTCTGAATTATCTTTACAATTAATTTTTCATGGGAAACGTTTCTGCTTTTAAAGATTCAAAGACGAAAAAAGTAACGATGTTAACTGGAAGATAATATTTTGAATTTTTTTGCAGTTAATTTTCATGATGATGGGTGTTGTACACTCGAAACGTTTGTGTTTTTGAAGATGATAGAAATATGTCTATATCTATATATATATCTTCACCTATCTGTCTAGCTATCTATCCATATGTGTATAAATATGTATATACAGATATATAGATATAGATATGTATAAGATATATATAAGATAGATAGATATATAGATATATAGATAGATAGACACACACACACACGCGCGCACACACACACACACACACACACACACACACACACACACACACACACACACACACACACACACACACACACACACACACGCACGCACATCCACACGCACATCCACACATCCACACAGACACTCACACACACACATACATACATATTTAGAGTAGATTGTGCCGATTGACAAATGTGGTCGTCTGTAGTCAAGGCCTGAACTCGGCCAAGGCTGATAAATCCTGGCCAGACGACGCACTCTGAGGCGTCATGGAAGGGTAGCGGCAATTTTCTTCCAAGTGTACATGCAGGCAACTCACGCCCCATCTCTATTGCTGTTGTTTGTACGTGACTGCTAACAATTTAGAACCTTTTGTTAGGCACTGCCGACGGAAGAACGAATGTAACACGTGTTACACATATGCAAATGTAGCTATTGCAGACACACACACACACACACACACACACACACACACACACACACACACACACACACACACACACACACACACACACACACACACGCACACACACACACACACACACACATACATACATTTATGCCCCTAATCATCCATCCGCTCATGCAGAGGAACACACATTTACATAAAAATGACTCTGAAGGTTAACCTTCGAATAATCTCCTGAATGCGTTACCTTGTGTTTTTATTCAGTGAGGTCATGGTTTATGACACACACACACACACACACACACACATACACACACACACACACACACACACACACACACACACACACACACACACACACACACACAACACACACACACACACACACACACACACACACACACACACACACACACACACACACACATACTTACTAATCATCATACGTGAATGTTCGTATATTCAAGTCACTCATTTTCTGTGGAAGTCTTCTACTTACTCGCAAGATATAGGTTATAAATAAGAAATAGCGCTTTCTCATCTGCACATTAAAGGGCCGAGAATTCGAACGTGAATCTAAAACCGGTAGATCTGTTACTTTGTGGCAAATAGACATTAAATGCGTGTAGAGAGATTTATGTGAATGCGTACTATGATGTCAATATTTCACGTACCATTATCTTAAACACAGTCTGGACAATGAATTCACTTATTGCTTGTAAGAGAGTTTCTGAAATGGTAAAGATCGCTTTTACATCATTAAATTCTTATAACTTAAATCCGTGAAGGCTGCCTGAAGTCACGCAACGCTGACGGATGCTTTCCCCGCGCAAGTGTCTGGACGCGATCATGGTCAGTGTATTTAGATGTAATTTTTACCCCATTTTATTATTATACATCCACCCAACGCACACTCACACACACGCACACGTACCTGCATACGCATACACACACGCACACGCACACGCACGCACACGCACACGAACACACACGCACACGCATGTTTCTTATGATGGCAGTCAAGACGCCGTATAAAACATCTCTTCCGCTGCGAAGATATATTCATTCTTATTCATATATATATATATATATATATATATATATATATATATATATATATATATATATATATACTGCCGCGATAGCTCAGTGGTTAGAGCACTGGACTCCGACCCTCGTGGTCCCAGGTTCGATTCCCCGTCGCGGCAGTTGTAAAAAATGTCTACGCTCTGACTGCTTGCTCGAGCCCGAGAAAACGACATATCGGCTTGAGAAGTCAAACGTAGGTGTCATAGGGGAAGTCACCGCCGTGGCACAAGTGTTAACGCGCCGAACCGCGGTTGATTAGGAAGGGCATCCAATCAGGCAAGGGTGACACTGCCATATAACCTCTCAATACTGAATTGAGAGAGGCCAATGTCCTGCAGTGGAATGAATGGCTGTTAAGAAAAAAAAAAAAAAAAATATATATATATATATATATATATATCACACACACACACACACACACACACACACACACACACACACACACACACACACACACACACACACACACACACACACACACACACACACACACGAGTTACTCTGAAATAATTTATTACCAGTCGTATAAAGGATGGGCAATGTTATTTGGCACGTCTGACAGTATATACTAAATGTACTGCCGAAGCAGTAAAAGAAAAAGTTTTAAAAGAAATCGGGCGTGTTTCTCCGTAGGCATTATTATGTCTGCACCATTTTGATTTTGTATTTATGATTAATATTTATGTTGAATATATGATTGGGAGTGTTTTTTGTCAATGTATTTATTTGTATTTTCTTCACTTCAACATAAATAGCTTTTGAATTTGAAGTTTATTAAATGACATAAGTATTTAAAGTTCAAGGGATACCTAATTGCATATGATCAATATTGTTCAGGATTCCCTAAAATGTATGAAAGTAATGTGTATGTATGTATGTTAGAATATAAGTACATCAAGTGGAGAGATGTGACAATTTTGCCTAAGATTTTGTGTCATAACCAATTTTTTTTACTTAGCTTTATCACAATTAAGGATAGGACCATCTTTTTTATTACAATCTGTATGCCTGTCCGTGTGCCAGAAATAAAGTTTGCCTGTGTTCATGTGTGAAGTTCCCCCCAACTGAGGTGTCAAGCGTGTGAGATAGTGTAAATGGAGGTGTTTGACAAGGGCCCACCACCATCACTGCCGGCAGGTCTGACAGTGGGTATTCCAACACCTCCTCACCACGTGGCTCGACCCTCACCTTGCACCCGGCAGCGCCCAGCCCTCCTGCAGCAGATTCCAAGCTTCCTAGGTGAGTCTCTGATGCTCTTGTTCTTAGGTATGCTCTTCTGGTAAGATTATTGGCAATTTTCGTCTTATGACCTTTTTGTCAGGGGCTCCCAGGTTATCGGGTGAGGCTTCGGAACCTGTTTTGTGGGTGAGTCATAAGACAGGTCATCGAAGGTGATATAAAGTGTCGGGGATTTATAATTTTGCTGCATTAATATGATTTGCCAGCTCGATTGATTGGAGCATGTGAAAACTTACTAACTTGCTCACTAACTGTTTATCTGTATGATGACATTATGCTATTTAAGAAGGATATGTTGCTTCCATAATAACCTTAACAGTAAAGGGCAACAGATCTTGCCATCTTATTAACATGTAGACCCTTAAGCAAGACCCAAAATAACCAAATCCTTCAAACTCTTTTCTCCTTTCTCCTGCTTTCTCCTCCTCCTCCTCCTCCTCCCTTCCCCTTCCCCTCCACTCCCCTACCCCTCCCCCTTCCCTCTCCCCCTCCCCCTTCCCCCTCCCCCCTCTCCTCCTCCTTCCCCCTCCCCTTCCCCTCCCCTCCCCTCCCCCTTTCCCCTCCCCCCTCCCATTTCCCCACCTACCTCATTCCACCTGCCTCCAACCCACCTTTCCCACCACCCCAGACCCCTGTCAGCACCTGGCCACCTCCAGCTAGTTCCTCGCCTCGTGCTGCCCAACCAGTCCACGCACACCCAGACCGAGTCCCCCCCCTCGTCCAGCCAGTCCAGGATACCCAAAGCCAGCAGCAGCAGTGCCCCTCGCTCTGTCAAACCCACCCCGCCCCCTAAGCCAGCCTCGATCAGAAGAGCCGTGTCTAACTTGGCCAGGCGACCCACTACTATACCTAAGAAGGCTAGGTCAGTAGGTGAAAGGTAAGCATGGAAGTGTTCATGGTTTCAGGTGTTCGTAGGGTTGTAGTTGATAATGTCACTGTCATATTTATTGATGTTATTATTACTGTAAAGTATTTTATCATGTGTTTTTATTTATATCAAATTCATCACTATCATTTTTGTTGTCACTGTACTTGTTGCGTTTAGTTTTATTCTTGATGTGATTTTTCCCTATTAGTACAGTACTTAATATTGACATTGTTGCTAATTTTATCATCTTTATTATCAACATCAATATTATTATATTTATGACCATCATTACCATCATTAGGTTTCTTCTTTTTCTTCTTCTTCATCCTCTTCATCATCTTTTTCTTCTTCTTCTTCGTCTTCTTATTATTATAGTATTTATATATATATATATTTATTATTAGTAGTATTGTTATTATTATTATTATTATTATTATTGTTATCATTATCTTCATCTTCATTTTCATCAGATTTATTTCTCTTAGATTAATTGCAGATGTGTAATGTGACACTTCCTCTGAAATGTGCCACATTATTATTATATATTAACAGTTTATTTCTCTGATTTCTTTCTTTCTTCCTTGTACCAGACCTGTTTTGAATGTTCCCCAGCTTCAACTAATAAGCAAGCCTGTGTTTTACTAATATTTTTGCCAAACCAAGCTGTTAACACTTCATTGTGTGTAGATAACTGAAATACATGTAATGATTATGAGGATGAATAATAGAATATAATCATAAATACTTTTGGGTAGAATATAATTATAAATACTTTTTATATACATTTGTTACTGGTAAGATAATTTTTTTGAGGTTTTGTTTGTTTTGTTTTAAGAAAAAGAAGAGACATGCAATTTATTAATTTAAGCAATAAGATCAAGTTGTTTGATTTTATACCTTGCTCACTGTGCAGTTATATATATCTTTTTAATCAGTGATAAAAGATTCAGCACAGCCTGCAATTTAGTAAGCACAATGAGCCAGGATGATTTTAAAAAGTCACATGCACAGATTAGACAAGCAATAGAAGAACATCTTTTCTGCATGGTGTGAAATCCAGGCATCCTGAAAAATGTCAAAAGAAATTAGCATACAGTATCATTAGATGTCAACAAGGAATGAATGTCATCAAATTCAACAACACCTTTCAGAGGATGGTCAGGCGCCAAAACAACCCCAACAACACCAGTCACAACCCCTACCCATTCTGCTAAGCCTCGCCTGCCATCTGCACGAACACCTAGGTCTTCGGGACGTTCTACTCCTAATACCACTCCAACAACACCGACACACTGTAAGTTTTACCTTGAGTACGATTATTCCATTTTTTGATTGATTTATTGAAGAGGTATATATAATGATTTTTTTTTTTATTAACCAAAGTATATGTATCTGTGAATTAGTCAAAGCAATCATTGCTTATGTAGAAAAGCAAGCTGTGCTTTTGTGATTGTATTTTGGTATTCACAATTTTCAGATATGTATAAGATGTGATTAATATCTAATTTATTTGGTTATCTTTGTCTTTAGTATTGATGCTGGCGGGTGCATAGACAGGATTTTTTGTAAAGATGGGGGTGGGGGCATGTAGTGGAAAATCAATTAAGCTCCAGGGCATTAGTGCAGTGTTTCTGTCTTGTGCATTGCATGAATTAACTGCTTTCCTTTTTTTGTGATATTAAGATCTGATATGTGCTGCATATGATAGGGCTAAGTAAATTGTACAAAAAATGGAATTTGAGAAAATATACCAGTAATTCTATTTTTACAATTTCCTTAGCAGCAGGTATTGAAATATATAAAATTATAATAGCAGTTACTCAAGAAGCAAAGAACTACAGTAAATTAGATAGAAGTCCTTGTTTATATGACATTAATGACAATATTGATATTAAAAATAATGATAAGGATAATGATAGTAGTAGTAATGATGATAATAGTATTGACAATAATGATAAGGATAATGGTAGTAATATTATTGATAACTGTATTTATAATGATAATGGTAAGGATAATGATGGGTAAAATCAGTAAAACCATAGAAAACAGTGTATAAATTAGGTATCAATGGGGTACTTTACCTGCAAAACCATAGACAGTGTATGTATTAGGTATCAATAGGGTACATTACCTGCAAAACCTATTTCCTTATATGATTCTCTACCCTCTCAGGTCGCCGGTATATGACCTCCTTACAGCGCACTCCTGCTACGCCTTCAAAGCCGTCTCGTCCAACATCTCGCCCTTCCTCAAAGCCTCCTTCGCGGTCCCCCTCCATTTGTAGTCGCCTTCAGGAGTGCTATAACACCGTCCAGCCAGATAGTGTAACAGAGGCTCTTAGGACAGACCTCGACAACAAGGTAGGCAGAGACAGTGGTGGTAGAACAAGGAGTTAGATTATCTCTGTGTTGGAAATTACTCGTCAGGGATTCGTATTTCAGTAATAGGTGTAAAGGTAGGGTGTTTACTTATACGTTAACATCAAGGCACAATTGTTTTATAGTTTAACTTGTCACATTTGCTTATTTGAATACTTTATGCTAGCATTTTCCTTCATGCACATGAATGCACAAATATAAATTTCTCTCTCTCTATATATATGTAATATATATGATATGTATATAATATATAAAATATATATAATATAATATATATATATAATATAATATATATATTACATATAATATATATGATATATATGTAATATATATATGATATATATGGTATATAGAATATGTATATTATATAAATGATATATATAAAATATATATATATATATATATATATATATATATATATATATATATATATATATATATATATATATATATATATAAAATATAATATATATAGGATATATACATATGTATATTTACACACACACACACACACACACACATATATATAAATATATATATATATATATATATATATATATATATATATATATATATATATATATATATATATATATATATATATGTATATATATATATATATATAAATATAAATACATATAAATATACATATGTATACATATAAACACATATATATAACATATAATATATATAATATATATGATATGTATAATATATATAATATATATAATATATATATAATATATATAATATATAAATTGTATATATATTTATATAATATAATATATATATAATATATATAATATATAAAATATATATATAATATATATAATATATAAAATATATATATAATATATATAATATATAAAATATGTATAATATATATGTAATATATATAATATATATGATATATATAATATGTATATTATATAAATGATTTTTATAATATATACAATATATATGATATATATAATATATATAATATGTATATAAATATATATAATATATATGATATGTATGAATATATATATATATATGTGTGCATGTCTGAGTATGTACATGTGTATGTGTATATATTGTATGTATATATGTGTGTGTGTGTGTGTGTGTGTGTGTGTGTGTGTGTGTGTGTGTGTGTGTGTGTGTGTGTGTGTGTGTGTGTGTTTTATATATATTACATATATTCATATATATATATTATAAATATTTTGTATATTTATATATATATATATATATATATATATATATATATATATATATATATATATATATATATATATATATATCTGTATATATATATTTATGTATATGCATATATATATATATACACATACATGTATCTATCTATCTGTCTAACTATCTATCTATCTATATACGCACAGGCACAAATGCACACACATGTAGTCTAACATCTCTTGATCACATGTGCCTAAAGATGAACTGTAAAGCTTTATGCAAGTCAGCAAATATTTCTAGGAATATCCAAAATGTAATTGCTTCAAAATTGTGTCACCTTTTTGACAGGACCATTTACTTGTAATTTATGCTTTGTCCACAGGTTTTTGACATTGCTAACCAAACGCGAGGCTTTTGTGGTTGCAAAGACACTGAGTGTACGAAATCTCACGTCAAGAGAGTGTCTGATGGCAAGTACGAAATCTGTGGCAGGAACGTTTTTGTTAGGGTAAGTACCAGTGCTAAGAGGTAAGAGGTGCAGTTAGGGAAAAGGGAAAATTGTTGTGTTGTAGGAGAATAATACCTCATTAAAGGTGTGTAAATTCAACACAAGTTAACAAAAATCTTAAATAGAAGTTCTTTGGGTTTCCAAGTAATCATAGTCTATGGAATACAGTTATTTGGGAATCCTTATTTATATATTAAGATTATACTAACAGATAATGAAGTTTTTAAAAAAGGTAAACTTTCATAATAAGAAATATTTTTGTAAGTGTAAGTAATAAGATTATTCATTTAGTACTTTGATAGTGATTTTTAAAAATTTAAGGAGATTAAAAGTAGTAGAATAGTCTAGTACTAAATCTTCAAACAGAATTTAGATTTCATTTAGAAAAGCAATATGCTAAGATTATAGGATACACAAATACATAAGACTAGGAATAGGATAGGAAGTGATGCCTAGTATGAATAGGCGTAGGTTAAGGAAGCAGTACATGCTTTAGAGATGCCATAGAGGTGTTCATAGAGACATTACTGAAATAGTTCAAGATAGAACCTCACTGATGATTAGGCCTATATACAAAAGAAAGATATATCCTGCTAGAAAGAAAACTGACCTTAGATGACATAAAAGATATAATAAACACAAGGTCGACCTTCTATAAGAATGGTAGGTGAATGCCTTAGACAGTATAGTATTTGATTAGATGTATACTGCATAGTTGTGCATGACCATTTCTCTCTACTGATATCTGTTTAACACTGAATGTAGCACTCATGTAGCACTGAATGTAGCTCATGTAGTTTTGGCATCCTTAAGTTAATATCCTACATGCATGTATTTAATATCCCAGTTTTTAGTATTTAATGTAAAACTGTAACTGTTTTAGTGTAATCTGTGTTTAGTTGTTCTTTTTGTTTTGAATAATGTACATTTTACTTATATTTTCTTTTTTTTTTTCTTTCCATCTTGATTTTTCCCATATCTCAGAAAAATTCCTCGCTGCCCAGGAAGCACATAAAGAAGGGTCAACGTAACAAACCCACATCAGAGAAGTCCCAGACTCCTAATATAGCTGATGTAAAGTCCTTTTTTTTCTTTATTTCTTTCACTTCAGTTATTTGAAGACTCCTGTAGACGTGAAGTTTAATGCAAAATACTTCATATTTAAGCTACATATTTTTTACACATATGTGTTATGAGTCATTTTTCTTACATTGGCTTGAATAATGTCTTTCAACAATTTTAAGCTTTGAGCAAGTGTTGATTACCTCTCTGTTAATTTGTTGCACAGAAGCAAAACTGCTCTGCAAAGAAGGTCCTTGTCATCCAACAACCCAGGGGTTCTCCTCCTAAGAACATACACTCCCCTAGGATCTGTGATGTAAATCCTGCGTTTTTTTTTACATTTTAAAAAAAGTTTAACTTTTCTTTTTTTATTGTGCCAAATTAAATAATCAATTGCCATAAATATCAGAGTGATTAAGTGAATGGTTAATCTTTATTTTTAGTTCTACTTTATCTTTAACCCCTTAATGAAGATGGCTTTCACTCAGCTTAATTTGTGGGTAAGGGTTAATAGGTTCTTTTCTGGAAATATTATAAAATGCTTTCAGGTTTCATGAAAAGGAAAAGTCAGGGGATGTAGCTTGATAAGACTTTTTCAAAGTTTTGAAGAATAGTAAAAGAAAAGAGGGAAAAATACTAGGTTTAAATTTTAAATTGTTTCCACATTTACTTTTAGAAAAGTAAACATAGGCCAAATATCCAATGATAGAGTTGCATAACTAGCATCAAGGAAACAGAAAAACTTGTTTTTAATGAATAATAAGATATGTTCCTACTATTCAAATTTGATATTCTGTATATGTTAAAAGTAACACAATGCAGTTATGGTCACTGGTCATTTTTATAAGTTTCTTTAACTTAAAGGATAGGTATTTAGTGACTCAAAGAATATCAGCCTTTCTTAAGGGGTGAAAGAGAAGACGTAGTTATCAAAATTATAATATAATATTCTGTCTTAAATTTTGATCCAGCCATATATCATAACCTGTTTGTTTATGCTTTCTGTGTGATGTACATGGTATTGTCTGGGATAATTGTCATTTGAAGAATGTATTGGTTCCCCTGATACTAAATTCTTCTTCTGTTTCTTGTCATGGGCAGAAATGCTATGCAACTGATGACAAATCCATTGTGAAACGTCCTCGTCACCACAACCCAGCAGCTAGCAAAATCATTTCACCATTCGAGATCAAAGTAATGCCGATAAAAAGATAAAATGAGTTTTAATTGTTTGTTTGTTTGTGATTCTGTGTAGAGTAGCTTGAAACATCAAAAATAAGCAAAAAACCTTTATTTAGATTGTTTTATATCCTTCATTGGTGTTTATTAGTTTGAATTACACATGGTATATTTAAAAAGGATTTACTTCCACAGTCTTTCCTATAATATATATCATTTTTATTTTTTTAATTTAAAGAGCAAGACGAAGTTAGTGTTGAGACATCAGCTTCCTCATCCCAGTACATGGGACTTCAAGTCCACCAGAAAGAAATATGTAATAATCTCTTAATTTCTGTTATTCACTACCTTAAGAGACAAACATCAGATATTAGAATAAAGTTTAGAGATTTTCCATGCTCTGGAGATGGTGTTATTCTTTTGGGATTTTGTTCTGTTCTGTATTTGTTTGTAAATACTCTTTTGTTAGGTGTTTGCATGTCTTCAGTTTACTCCCAAATACTGAATGTTTGCATTTGATATACTGCATGGTTCCCCCTAACCATAAATAATCATAACCAAGGTCTAAAGCAATATCACATATCACCAGTGTAAATGGAATATTGAAATCATATGATAAAAAGTTCTTACACACAAAAAAAAGCAGTCTAAAGTAAAATCAAGAGGCTTTTAAGGTACCTAAACTCCCAATTCATGTAAACTTGCAGTGTCAAATAGCTGTATTTTTTTCCTCCCACCCCCTCCCTTCAACCTGTGACGGTAGACAAGCAACAGCTCCGCACTGAGGCATCAACTAAACACCTCGACTCTGAGAAAAGTCCACTTCCCTTCTGCCTCGGATGTAAACACTTTTTCTGTTTTGTATTATGTTCATATTTATTTTCCTGACACTCTTGATAAAAAAAAGAAGAAAAAAAAAAAATGTCTTCTCTCTTTCATTTTCATTTTGTGTCATTACTCTACCCTTTTGTGAATTTTAGTATTCCCATTGTAGCTTCTCTTTGTTTTTTCTTTGTAGTTTTAGTAAATAGTTTTATTTTCACTATCTTTGGGTTTTCTTTTCTTTCATTTTTTGTCTCAATGTATTGCTAGAGTTAACTGGCTTTGGTGTACATTAATTTCTTCATAGAGGGTTATTTCCGTTTCTTATATTTTTTTCCTTCCTTGTTGCATCTCAAACAGAAGCATCGCCCTCCTGCAACTTCACCTGCGATGGTCAACACTGCTCTTGAACCTTATGTAATCATTATTATTTTAAATCTTTTGTTTCTCCTTTCCCTTATTATCCTTTTAGGTGTCATAAAAGAATTGATTTATTTAAAATTCTATTGTGTTTTTTATACCTGTGTATCATTATGATTTCTACTCATGAGTAATTAAATGTAATGATAGAGGCTCCTCGTAAAGACTTATAAAGCATGTACGTTTTATTAGAAAAGTAATAATTTATATTGCATGTTTAACAAATTCACATTTCTTATACAAATTGAATGCAAGGTAGTAAGTAATTAATGATATAATAACCATTACTCAAAAGGGATATAATGTTATGGTAGCATTAGTTCAGAGACAAATAATTCAAGGATTTTAGCCAAGCAAGGATAAGTCATTTGAAAATCACCTATTTTTTTTTTGTATAGATTCAAGACTAGCTAACATGAAAACCAGTTTATTTCAGTGACTGCACTAATGAGCTGATGAGTGTTACAAACTCCTTCTTCCAGTTGCTAAAGGGGAAACATGTGATGGTCAGAGTTGGAGGCGGTTGGGACACACTTGAGCATTACCTGCTTCGACATGATCCAAAACAGGTGAGGAAAAAACAAAAGAGATCAAATTTGCATTGTATCAGATGTCAAACTCTCTCAGGACCTCACTAAACTGTGTGAAATATAATGCATGCTGATCTCATCATGCTGCTGTTGCAAATGTTTCTAAAGACTTCCGCTTCTCTGTCTCTCTCTTTATATGTAATTTTTAAAATTATCCTGACTTAGGGATATGTTTAAATGTAGGTTTAGGGGTTGTGTTAGTCCTGCTTTCATAGACATTATTTTATGCCTTCCAAACAAATATCTCTTTTGTTTGTATGGAAATTCTTTGAAGTGGCTTGAAAATCTAGGGCCACTCCATTAAGTAAAGCAGAAGCAAAACATGGGTGCAGTTCATTTTATCTGACCAGTTATTGTAGCTACAAATCATACTGTCACAAATGTTTATGGGATGGAATGTTGTGGGTAATGAAATTATCAACAATTTAGAACATTAAGAAAATATTTAAAAATAGAAATACACCAAATTTGAGACATGTATATTGTAAGTCTGCAGTGCCAGATGTTCATAATTATGTTTCAGTAAGATACATGATACTATCCTCTCTCTCCAATAATGCTTAAAGGAAATTTTCTGCATTTCACAGTTAGTGGTGAACATAGTTTCAAAGAATATCAATAAAAGGAACTATCATTCACATTTCTGTCTATAGACCTTACACCTGCAAAAATGATAAGATTATAGTAAATCTGATAGAATGAAGTAAGGTGTCACAGTAGAAAGTAGAATGTTATTATTGTCTCATGGAAAAGGAGAAGTAGCAGATAACATTCCAGTGTGGTACTGTAGGTTAGTGTGGTGATTTTTATTTTTCATCATTATTTGATTAATCAGTCATATTCAGTTATATAGTATATGGGAAACCAGGTGCTATAAAAAAAACAAGAAAAACAAACTCCAGAACATTAAAAATCTGGCATGTTTCCATTTTGAGTTTGCACCATGATCACATACAAACGGAGAGAAAAAAGAAAGAAATATATATATGCTAAATTTGAGCTATACCTAATTTTATTTCTCTTCATTTTGTATGCTGCTTTTTGTCTATTCTATATTATGTTTTACTGAATTTCTTTAATTTATACATTTCATCTAGAGGTCATATTAACAAGTAAGTATACTATACAGTAAGTATTTGATAGAACAGTTTGTAGGATGCCATGCCTTTGATAATGAAACTATTAGCTATTTTTTAATCATGTGTAAATTTTTTGGCCACATTTCTTCTTAACTATTTTGAATTAGCCAGCTAGACTCTGCACAGTATTATTTTCTTGGTTTACTTGTTATCCCTTGAGAGTGTTAATAAACAATCTTGTTGAATAGGAGCATCTATGACTGGTTTTCTAGTTTTTCCTAATTTCAATAGCAGTAAAGTTAATCCAGTTGAACAGTTATATTTGATATAAAAACAGAAGCTTGCAATATGACATATTAGCTATTCTCGTTTCTACTTATATCCTTTATATGCCTTATCGGTTTGCAGAGGGAGGCGAAAGAAGGGAGAGGGAAGGGGACTTTTCTTTTGTGCATGCATGTGTTTCTTCTGTTGTAAACAAGTTATTCTTCCTAGG